TTGGTATGAAATTCGAATGGTATGACAATTAGAGATTAGACTGTACAGAAATTGAAATCTACAAACACACTATACTCATAGCCACGCAATGCTGATGTTGTTAACATTAATAATCTGAGAATAAAGTATAACAATAATAATTTGCACAGTTTGATGTGATATGAGCTATTTGATCGTTAGATTAAATCACCATTGGTAGCACGATTTATTGTAATGCTTTTCTCCTCACTTGGTCAGAACAAACGTGGTAGACTTGTTACTTGCTTGTTCAGATGACGATATCCGGTGAAAATTCTTATTTGGGTCATATATTCCAAGACGTAGGCGTGTTTAAACGAGCCGTTTTAGAAGGGTGTGGACAAGTCTTAAATTTTATAAAGAATATCTCTTTGGGTTTTAGACTTTAGTCATTGCAACTTTAGGGATCTTATCTATTCACGAACAGCTTGTAACACTCCAAAGAGAAAGGAAAACTTGAAATTGCATCATATGACCCCTTTAATACAATTTTAATCTAAAACAAAATGAAACAAAAATGCAGAAAAAAATGCGTGACACTTACAATACCTTCCCTTTTATAAGATAATACATTTAAAACCCACAAAACAATGTTCTAGTGTACCTCCTTCCAATACCCATAAAGCAAAATGCTCATTTACTGTCAAAGAGCCTACAAACATTATAAAAACATCAAGTCATTCCCACCCTTGTGCCCACATCAAAAGCCATGTCTGAGGTAAACATAGCTATCATCATCACATCTAGCAGTTTCTCTCCTTTTCAGTTAACATTATGCTATATACGAAATACTGCTATACCAATAACAGCTGCTATTTTATTCTGCATTTAAATTCAGTAGGCAAGAATCTACTCTTAAACTGGCAAAGTTAAGTAAGGCAAAGTTTGCTAAAAGAAACTCTAATCAGGAAGGGCTAAGGCCCTTAACTTGTCTAATTACATAAAGGTTCAAGTAAAAAAAAAAAAAAGAGACAAGAATAAGCCATTTTTATTTAGTATACTTTTTCTTACAGATTATACAGTATTAAGTAATTACTTACTTCAAAACAATGTACCCAGATTAACTTATGATTAGGCAACTTTGACTCAACTAACGAAAGAAAATCAGGAAATAGTATTTATTAGTATAGTTAAATAGTTATTGCTTAAACATATGATTAAAAAAAAAAATCTAATTATTATCTGATCAAGTGATATCTACTTTGCTTTCATGTTCTTTTTTCTAATGACAGGACAATAGCAGTAAGGGACAGGAAATCATTGGGAAGCCAATGTGTCCCAAGAAAGCATCACACACAAATGCATGATCATATTTCACTGTATTGTGGAGGAATTTCTGCAGGTTGGTGATTCATGGAAGGGTTGCTGATCACAGATATCTGCAATAAAAAAATCTCTATGATTAGCTTCCTTAATTATTGATTGTTAATTCATTGATAATAAACAATTACTGCACCAATTACTCAGTTCTTTACACATTTCCAGTACAAGGACACTCAACACTAAATCTAAATGATGTTTTGTGTTTTTCATTGTTTTGTGTACCATTTTACTCTAAGTCCAATTAAAAACTGGTGTTTCAAGCCTCTCTTACCTCTGAGCTCTTAGGATCATGGTAATGATTGGGCCTAACATCACAGGGCTGTGCAGGTAAAACTTGTGGAACATACGCCACCTTTGGAAAATGAACAGTGTTTTATGCCTTATTACTGTAAAATGCCAACACTGGCAGACAGTTCCAGTATTACAGGTTTTTCTATTAGTAGAGATGCTGCTGCTAAACACTTTTGAGAGATGCACAAACTTTTCAATGGCTCGAGCCTCCATTACTAGCTCTAAAATGACATTTTGGAAAATGACTTGGAAAATTCTTGTCAAGTATTAATTGACACAAGAAGGTGGACATGTTATGTTTTCAGCTGTCAATTATATTTCGCTGTTCTATGCCAGCCGCCAGCCGAACCTGCACAGCCGAATCATCAGAAGTTCTGCAGGTATTGTGAAGAAACAAGCGAGGATAATAGCGAAAATGACAGATCATGGAAATAAATGTTATGTTCCAGGCTATGCAGGGGATGTGATGTGCAGGGATGGGTTGGTGTCTGTATTCAGAAAGGCACGGAAAACAAATAACGCTGGGTATTTTGCATGGTCTGTTATTGGAGTAGTGTCAACCGGGTGGGAGTTTTAACTCCTATCCACTGGAAATAAAAAAATAATTTAGCAGATGCAGACACATATAGACCGGGGGGAGTCCCCTCATCTCCCCACCCTCTGATTACGTATCATAACGTAACTACATGTAAAACGTATATTTTTCTTGCATTCGAATAATGGATAAACTTGAAACGATAGAAGAAGGATTGGAG